GCAGTATACAAATTAAATAAAATAAATAAATAAAATAAATAAATAAAATAAATCTGATGGATTGTAATCTGAATTAAAATTGGCCACAAGAGCAGTACTATCCATATAAATTATTGGGTGAGTAAGTTGTTAAAACAATTGATTCACTTTCTTTTTTTCAGTTCTATTTTTATTTTATTCAAAAGAAAAGTTAAAATACAAAGCTCAAAAAAAAAAAAAGGAAAACTACAAAACAAACAAGACATTTTAAAAAGTGCATTACAAAAAGAAAAAACAACTCACACACATAGACATATTATTCCCCCCTAGTTGTATACTGATTAATTCTTTTTTTTTTATTTTTTTTATTGAGTTTTAAACAGAGATATAAAGACAATACAAGAAATACAAAGACATTACAAAGACAAACGAGTTCCCACCACCAACCTACCCACACCATACTTTACATATATGTTTTGATCATCATCAGAATATATATTGCTTTATAGGTTAATACATAAGTAATACATTGTCAATTCAGATGTTTTAGATTGGAAATAATCTTGCATCTCCTCTTTATTTATTTATTTCCGGTTTTATTTTTTCTACCCTATTTTCTTTCATCTATATTTGTACTGATTTTCTTTTCCAGCCATTGATACCACTGGTGCCACACAAGATAGAATTCACTTTCTTCTTTATCTTGGAGTTCTAGTGTCAGTCTATCCATTTCGGCACATTCTGTTATCTTTGAGATTAATTTGTCTTTGGTTGGGAGTTGATCTGATTTCCAATTTTGCGCAAACAGTAACCGTGCTGCTGTCAAAATGTGTATGATGAGGTATTTTGTCTCTTTGTTGTGTTGTGTTGTTATCATTCCAAATAAAAAGAATTCTGGAGTGTTTTCTACTTGTTGGTTTATTATTTCTTCAATAATTTCCTTTGTGTCCTTCCAGTATTGTTGGGCCTTTGTACATTTCCACCAGGCATGGTAGTATGTCCCCTTTTTTGTTTTGCACTTCCAACATCGTGGGGAAGTGTTTGGATATATTTTGTCTAGTTTGGCTGGTGTTAGGTGCCATCTGTAAAACATTTTTATGAGGTTTTCTTTGTAGGGTATGGCTCTTGTCATTTTGATGTTCTGTTTCCACAATTTCTCCCAGTTTGCCAGTTGGATGTTGTGCCCTATGTCCCTGGCCCATCTTATCATATTTTCTTTTACTGTTTCTTCCAGTAATTTATATCTAAGTAAGTAGTTATATAATTTGGTTATCATTTTTTGTTCTGGGCCTTGTAAAATCTTATCCAATTCGCAAAGTATTAACCTATCATCTATATATTATATTAATATATATATATTATATTAATGACAAAAAGTTAACAAGAAGAACAATAATAATAAAAAGGCAAGACTAAAGTTTCAAAACGCTTTGTAAACAAACTGTTATTTTAATCAACTCGTAGAAAATTTATCATGGCATCATGGCTATCCGAAATTTATTTATTTATCTTATTTATTTGTCAAGCATGTATAAGATAACAGATACAAGTATAAACATGATTCTGAATACAGGATAAGGATACCAATACATGGAGACAGTAGGACGGTAGGCACGTTGGTGCACTTATGCACGCCCCTTACAGACCTCTTAGGAATGGGGTGAGGTCAACAGTAGACAGTCTAAGGTTAAAGTTTTGGAGATTTGAGGAAGAAACCACAGAGTCAGGTAGTGCATTTCAGATGTTGACAACTCTGTTACTGAAGTCGTATTTTCTGCAGTCTAGTTTGGATCCGTTTACCATGAGTTTGTATCTATTGTGTGCTCTTGTATTGTTTTGGTTGAAGCTGGTAGGACATTGTAGCAGATGATTTTATGTACTATTCTTAGGTCAGACCAAAGACAGCAAAGTTCTAAATTGTTTAAGCCCAAAATTTCGAGTCTGGTAGCATAAGGTATTTTGTTGCAAGTAGAGGAGTGGAGGATTCTTCTTGTGAAATATCTCTGGACTCGTTTGATTGTATTACTGTCCGATATGCAGTGCGGGTTCCAGACAGGTGAGCTGTCTTCAAGAATTGGTCTGGCAAGAAAATTTTATGCCCTAGTTTGCAGTTCAATATTACCAGAGAAGAAACTATGCAAGATTAACAACTTTTAATGTTTTTTTTGCAATCCTATTACAGTGAGCTCTGGCCCTTAGATCATTTGAGATGAGTACTCCAAGGTCTTTGACAGAGTGAGGGTCATCTGTTAGGTTGTATCCATCCAGCTTGTATTTTGTGTTCTGATTTTTTTTGCCAATATGTAAGACAGAGCATTTGTTGGTTGAGATTTGGAGTTGCCAACTGTTTGACCATTCTGACACATAGTCGATGTCTTTTTGTAGAGTAGCAGCATTGTCAGTGATGTTGAATAGTTTTACATCATCCACAAAGAGGATACAGTTGCTTATAATATGATCACAAAGGTCATTTATATAAAGTATAAAAAGTGTGGGTCCTAAAATGCTGCCTTGGGAGACACAGCTGTTAACAAGTGCAGGGTTTGATAGGGCACTCCCTATTTTGACTACTTGTTGCCTGTTTGATAGGAACGCAGGGATCCATAAATGCCATACATTTTTAGTTTTAGGAGTAGTTTGTTATGTACCACTGAATCAAAGGCCTTATAGAAGTCTATGTAAATTGAGTCTATTGCTTTGCCCTGGTCGAGTTGTGTAGTCCATATGTTTTTGCAGTGTAAGAGTTGCAGATTACAGGACAAATTTTTCCTGAAACCAAATTGTTTGTTAGAGAGTAGGTTGTTTGTAATTTAACCATGATAAATAAGAGAACACAGGAAACACAAAATGCTGAAGCAAAGTGAAGAAATAGATATTGAAGCAGGGAAAATATTTTCTGGATATTTCGATTCAAAGTTAAAAGAAAAATTTAAAAAATAAACTTCAAATATTTTGCAAATTAATAAAATGCAAAAACTCTCTGGTGAGAGTCAAATATAAATGTCAATCAAATGAAAGCACTTCCACTATCCACGAAAATGCTGTGTTTCCTTACAGAAAAGCAAAACTTATTCAAAACAACCACATAAATCAGAGGGAAAAAGAAAAAAAGAACTGATAAAGTCCGACAAGGGATTAAAATAAATCAGCATTCAGCCAGCCAATTAACTTTTAAAGATAAAAGGAAAGTGAAAGAAAAGATTCAAACAGTGAAGTTAAAACCCAGACACGCCTAAGAAAACAAACTGCTAAGAGGAAGATGGATGATCTTTCTGATTGCTCCCACAGGGACCTGAAATCTTCAATATTCCCCTTCCCAGGAGAGTCCATAGCTGTTCAAAAGCTGTCTTGGGTCATTCCTAAGTGATCTCATTCAAATCCAGGGAGCAGCACTGCCAAAGAACCAGCTTTGGCAACAAAATCAGCAGGTCGTCAGCAGAAAAATGAGAAATTCCTACTATTCAGCAGCCGTCAGGAGGAGGAAATACTTCCTTGTAATACATGACTCATGCAGTTAGTGGAAACATTTGTCAGCGTTGAACACAGATCCATAAAGCTTTTGAAATCATTATACAATTGCAGAATTAGCAAGGGACATTTAGGCTATCAGGTTCCACCTATTGTCTACTGCAGGAATATAGAATAAAGCATCTTCAACAGAAGAATGTCTAGCTTCATTTGAGCAGAATGAAGGAGAAACCATCCTCTCCTCACTCTCTCTGAAGAATGGGTTCCATTATCAAACATTTCTTGGTAAGACTGAACTAGAATTTGCCGCCTAAAAACTTAGCCCCATTATTTCATATCCTGCTCTGTGAAACACTGATAAGCAGGTCTTGATCTGGATATACTGGCATGATGAGGAAAATAACCAAGTGTCATCACTATCATTTGATTAATTAAATTTCTCATTATGCAAAAACATTTTACTAGGTTAATACATTTGTATATAGTTATGGTACAGAGAAAATAACCGAGAATGTTTTTATATCATCATCTTCTTCTTCTTCATTTAACGACTCCATAATCCCTTGCGGGGTAGAGTCTGGGCAACTGAATGGAGCTAACTAAGTTTTTATGGCCAGATGCCCTTCCTGTCACCAATGCAGAATTTTTGTTCAGCAGATATATTCTCAGTGTGCCCAGAGAGAGAAATATCTGCCTCCACCTAGGATCAAACTCACAGCCTCCTGATTGTGAGGCGAGAGCTCCACCTCTAGGCCACCGCACCACTCCTGAGAATTATTTTATATATTGTTGGTTAATTATTTAGAACAAAATACCTTACGAAAATCATCTTCATGAAGCCAAAACCCATAAGCCCACAAGATCCCAATGAGAGGTAGAGCCAAAGTCTTTGAGCCCAAAGTTGTCTCAGGAAGAAGAGAATCAGCAGAGCAAGCAGCAAAACAAATAAAATTGTCCCTATTGCCATCATTGTCCAGTTGGTTCTTTTTCTTTGATGCTCATTAATAGATCTGGAGATGGTTGTATCATTTCATCTCATTCTTTTAACTTTTCTTCCTCTTTTATATACTTTATTCAACCCCGTTATTTCACACAGTGTTCTGTGAAACAGCTATAAGCAAATCTTACCTAAATATTCTGGTACCATGAGGAAAATGATCCACGGTGAGAAAATGAGTGGTTAGAGTACAATACTGCAGGCTACTTCTGCTGACTGCTGGCTGCCTGCAATTTTGGCAATTTAAATCTCACCAGGCTCAAGGTTGACTCAGCCTTCCATCCTTCTGAGCTTGGTAAAATGAGAAACTGGATTGTTGGAGGCAATATGCTGACTGTAAACCGCTTAGAGAGGGCTGTAAAGCACTGTGAAGCGGTATATACTGTAAGTCTAAGTACTATTGCTATTGCTAAAAAAACTAATCACATTCATCACTAGCACTTGAAGAAATGTATTCCTCATTGTATTTTACTTGATTAAGTACATTTGTCTATAATTTTGATATAAAGAAAACAAGTGAGAATTATCTTGCATATTACTGGTTAGAATTAAATACCTTAAGGAAGTAATCTTCACGGAGCCAAAGCCCACTTGCCAAGACAGATCCAATCAGAGGCAGAGCCAAAGGACCAGGAGGCAAATGTCTTCGGGACCAGAGTTCTTTCAGGAAGAAGAGAATCAGCAGAGCAAGCAACAAAACACACAAAAATATCCCTGTCACCATCATTTTCCTGCTTTTTCTGGTGGATCTGAAGATGACTGTATGCTTTTGTCTGATACTTTTTTCTTTTCTTCCTCTTTTATATATTCCATTGATGGGAAACTAATAGCAGCATGTGTGTCTCATTAGTGATGGAACTTTGTCAAGAAGATACTATCACATTAATTCGGGTTAATGAGAGTACCTCTGACCATGTGCCACCCAAATAACAGAGGAAAAAATTCAATCAAGGGCTGTGTAATCCCTTTTGCCGTAAACATGACAGCGTACCAGAATCATTTCAAAATCATACTGTATCACATGCCCATCAAATCTATCTGAATATAAAGGAGAATCTTTTTGGGCCAGGGAGGGATTATCTAGTCCAGGATTATGTCTCATGCAAAGTCATGTAAACCTAGCAGTGGGACATTATCATAAAAAAAACTTCACTCAACTTTGCTTTCAAACGGATTTGACCGGAAGCATCGCGGCAAGACAGATGGGGAACAGTGGGCTCTGATGAGCCTTGCGAAATCCCGGGCTGACAAACCACTGTCGAGGGGTCTTCGGACCAGATCTGTCCTGTAGGGATGGAGAAGAAGGAGAGGCACCTCGGACGACCAAGAGGAACAGGCAAGTTCCTCAGAGGTCAGAGGAAACTCTTCAACTCAGCGGCGGGGGCGGGGGCCATTGCGGCCGTCATAAAGCTGGTGCAACCGGACCACGTTTTGAGCAGGAACGGTGATTTGAATGGAGTACTGATGCTGGGTGAGTGATTGCCAGCTCATAGGCAAAAAATAAATATTTTTAAATTGTTAAAAGGTGCCCCAGTGAAATAACAGCAGCTAATGGGCCTGAGGGAAATGAAGGAAGAAGAATAAAGAGGAAGTTTAAAGTGGCAAAGCCTGAAACAAAACTTGATTTTTGGATTAAAATGCATAGAGATAATTAAAAAATTAGAAGAAGAAAAAAACCCATAATAGGTGTGAAGAAGATTGGAAAGAATTTAAAAAGATTTTTGTTGACTGCTGAGGAAAGAACAAAGGGAAACTTACAATTAAAGCTCTGTAATAGAAGATTTTTTTAAAAAAAATCTCCATGCCAGAGAGTTGAAAGGGACATTGGGGGCACAGTTGGTGATAATAAAGGGACTCATATTGGTTCTCTGGCTGTGTTGCCTTTGTGTCACGCCCTAGGTCATCACAGCTTATCTGTGTCATCAAGATCTTCTGAGTGGTGCAAATGGGTGTGGAGAACTTCTCCTTAGAACTTGAAAGGACTGTGTTGTACACTGGAGATAGATGATGCCATAACACTCTCCCTCTGTTGAAAGAGGGCGGTTCAATTTTGACATAGATGTCCTCCTTGACCCATCTTTCAAACCAGCAGTCCTCTCTGTCCAAACTGTGGACTTTGCTTTCTTCAGAAGAGTGGGCTTTTCTTTTAAATGAAATGGACTGCTGAATCTAGTCTTGATGGGTTTGCTCTTGTATGTTCTCCTGAAAATGACCAGCTGCCTGCAAGGAGTATAAATCCTTCCATTCCCCACCATCCAGTCAGAGCTGAAGAAGCTTCTTGGCTCACGGTCACTTGATCAGAATTCAGACGCTTGGCAACAGATGTCTATTTACAACAGTTGCAATGTCCCTCCATCATGTGAACACCTTTTGCAAGTTTCTGGCAAGCAAAGTCAATGGGGAAGCCAGATTCTCTTATCAACTCTGTTACTAAATTAACAACTGCAGTGATTCACTTAACAGCTGTGGCAAGTAAGATCATAAAATGGGGCAAAACTCACTTGACAACTGTTTTGTTTAGTAATGGAAATTTAGTACTTGATTATAGCCTTAAGTTGAGGATTACCAGTATTAATGATATCCCAAAGTCCCTCCGTTCAAACAATATGTTTATCCCCAGGATTAAAAATAAACATGTAAACCTTCTGTTCTATGCAGATGAGGTCTTATTAATGTCATGCACAGGTAGGGATGACAAAATTGCTGCACAGGTTTAGTTCACATTGTGCACCCAATGACATGAAGATCTAAAGTAATTGTTCTGAGGAAGAGGTGGAGTGGAGTATGGATAATTGGAGCCTGGGTAGGGAATGTACACATCAAGTTAAGATCTGCCCACACAAAGAACTGGTTTTCACAAAAAGCAAGGTCTTTTGCTCCCACATTTTAAGAAAAAGGGCTACAGCCTGTGCCAATCCCAAAGGGCAGCTTGTCAACTATAGTTACTTGTGTTATCTACTTCCAGTCATCAAAATATATAACAGCAAAATAGTGTCAATGATGACAAATGGCACAGAGCTGTGGGAATATATAAATGCCCCTTTACTGGAAACGATGCAGTCTACTTTTCTGAAATGTATCCCGGGGGTGGATAACTCTACACTGTTTCCAGCAATAAGGGTTGACTTGAATATACCTCCTATACAGGTAGTTCTTGATTTACAACAGTTCGCTTAGTGACCATTCAAAGTTACAATGGCACTGAAAAAGTGATTTATGACCATTTTTCACACTTATGACTGTTGCAGCATCCCCAAGGTCACATGATTTACATTTGGATGCTTGACAACTGACTCATATTTATGACGGTCGCAGTGTTTCAGGATCATTTGATCACCTTCTGCACCCTTTTGACAAGCAAAGCCAATGGGGAAACCAGATTCACTTAACAACCGTGTTACTAGTCTAAGAACGGCAGTGATTCACTTAACAAATGTGGCAAGAAAAATCGTAAAATGGTGCAAGACTCACTGAACAAATTTCTTGCTTAACAACATAATTTTTGGGCTCAATTGTGGTCATACATTGAGGGTTATTTGTACAAAGCCATCTAGTAATTAAAGTATTCAACTAGAAAACTTGGAAAACATATTGTGGCTGAAGATCCCCGTCTGTAGACCCAGATAGATTGCCTGAGCATGCTACTTCGCAATTGGGCTAACCAGTTTTCAAAAGTCTTCACAATGTGGCTTCTCTATCCAAATTTCAGTCCAATTTTATCTAAAGAAGGAATGCCTGAATCCTTCAAACTAGGTTACTCCACATATATCTCTTAATAGAGTTAACATGGATCAATGGAATATCAGAAAGAGAGATTGTTTTATCACTAAATCAACATCCTGACAGTCAGAACAATTAATCAGTGGAACAGCTTGACTCCAGAAGTTGTGAATGCTCCAACACTGGAAGTTTTGAAGAAGAGATTGGACAACATTTGTCTGAAATAGTATAGGGTTTCCTGCCTGAGCAGGGGGTTGGACTAGAAGACTTTCAAGCCCCCTTCCAACACTGTTATTCTAATTCTGATTCTAATGTATGGTTGAGGAACTTGGTTGATGGATTATGAATCCCAGGACCCTCTACCCTCTACCCTTTATCATATTATCTGGGACTTCATGGCACAGTAGTTCAGAAATATATTCAGAAATATGGAACAGCTTGCCTTCAGATGTTCTGGGTGCTTCATCACTGGAGGTTTTTAAGAAGAGACTGGACAGTCACTTGTCTGAAATGGTATAAGATCTCCTGCTTGAGCAGGGGACTAGAAGACCTCGAAGGTCCCTTCTAGTTCTATTTTGATTCTGATTCTGAAAATATTTGGAGAATTTTAGGTTTCCCAGTAACCAGTTCCTAGCTCAGAATATCTAAATCTAATAAGGTAAATCCTTGCTTATGGAAGTTGTACAAGACATCTCCTCTGTTAACTTCTTCTAATAGGCCCCAAAAAAGCAGAATGACTAGCCACTAAAAGGGAAAATAAGATTTTTGCTGATATTTAAAAGCTGTACTGTTAGATCCGGCGCAGGGAAAAGAAGACTGGACCAGCTCGATACATTAAGCAACTTTTATTCATTACAAAGTAACGAGTCAAGACTGCTGGCGTGCTGCCGGAGCTCTCCTTATATTCGCTCCCGGCAGACGCACCGCCCCTTGACAGGGATTCAAATCTCCCGCCCGATGGCTGGCAGCCAATCAGGGCGGATGCCCTTATAAGGACATAACACTCCTCCCCCCTTAGTCCGAAATGTCAATCTCATTCACAAACGTTACGTAGTCGCGCAGGTACGCCGGACGCCTCGGCACCCTAGCTGACCTGCGCAGTCTCACTTCTCCTCCGTCTCCGGCCTGGAAGGACGGGGCTCTTTCGTCTCCTGGTTCCCTCTCCGGAACCGGGCTCGGTTCGGCTGTTGAGTGAGCGGGGCCACCCCCAGCGCCTCCGGCCGGACCGCAGACCTTGGATCGCTGGTCCTGGTGGTCTTCCTCCTGTCCTGTGGATCTCTCGCCTCGCCTCGGCTGCTCGGTTCCGACCCGGTAAGAGCGTCTGAGTCTCGGTAAGTCCATTGCTTGCTCCTCCCTGGTCTCCCGGGCGCTGTGGTTCGGTCTCGGTCCGGCTTGCTGCCGCTCGGGTGGCGGTTCCGCTCGGTTCGGGTGGTGCTGGCTCTCGTTGTTGTTGTTGTGCCGTCCGACCTCGCAGGGGTGGCGTTGGTCCCCTCGGTTGGGCTGGCGTTGGTCTACCTTGTCTGGCTGGCGGTGGTCGACCTGGTCGGGGTGTTGTTGCGGCGCTGCCTCCGCGGGGCGGCGGAGGTCTCCCCTGCCGGGGTGGTGCTGGTCTCCCTGGCCGGGTTGTTGTCGGCTTCCCCTTCCCCCTAGTCCCTGGTCTACCGTTGGTTGGTGCCTGGGGCCATCCTGGTCAGGGTGTCGTTTCTTGGCTGTCTCTTGTGATGGGCGGGGGTCCCCCACGTCGGTGAGTTGTGTGCCACCCTCGCCCGTGGGTCGTGGGTTGCCCGTCTTGGCTGGGTCCCGGTCTACTCGCCTTGAACTGCAGTCTCCCTCGCTGGGCTGGCATGGGCTGCTGTAACTGGTGGGGTGCGTTGCTCCTCCTCTGGGCAGGTCCCGGTCTACCTGCAGGCTGGGTTGGTGGTCCCTGGCCTTGCTGTGCCCGGTGCCCACCTGGCTGGGTTGGTGTTGCCATCCTCCGTGCGGTTGGCCCTGGTCTACCTCGCTGGGCTGCCGGCGTGACAGCATCTGGTAGTGGGCTGGGCCGACCTTGACGGGGTGGTGCTGCTCTGCCTCGCAGGGGTGTGGTAGGCCTACCTCGTCGGGGTGTCGTAGGCCTACCTCGCCGGGTTGTTGTAGGCCTGCCCGGTCTGGGTGTGGTAGGCCTACCTCGCCGGGGTGTTGGAGGTCTACCTCATCGGGGTGTTGTAGGCCTCCCTCGTCAGGCTGGTTTTCATGCGCTCCCCCCCACCTTTTTCGGAGTTGGTCGATGTGACGTCTCGCGAACTGTCCATCTTCCAACTCGACGATGTAGGATTTGGGGCCGGTTGTGCTGGCAATCTTCCCCTTCAGCCACTTAGGAGAGCCGCTGAAATT